CACGCTTTCCCCTCACGCCCCGGCAGCCTTCCCACAAACGACGTGGAGCCGCAAGCCGTTGGTAGAGGTTAACATTTTGCTTTAATCCATTAAAAATTATAGTGGATGCAAAACGCATCATCACATCTATAGACTTCACATAAAACACGAACAGCAACTCAGACTACGTCCACTCAGCTTGCATCTGTAAGGCACCGACGTGTTACAAACTTGTTTTAGACAATACTGCAAAGTCACCGGCGCCCCATGAGCAATATTAGGCACTTTTTCTTTCCAACTCATCCTCGGGTGCCAAACATTACCAACAATCCCCAGGCAGGAGGTGAGAGCGTGCCCAGCTGCCCCCACTCCTCAGAGAGAACCAGAAACGACGCCTAGAGGCTGCGGGACCTGGTGGGAGAGGGACCGGTTCCACCCCCCCGGCCTCACCGCCCCTTCCAGCCTGCCTTCCCACACACGAGGGCAGCTCCTACAAACTCGCCTGCGCTAACACTGGGTGGAAAGGCAAAGTGGCCTCAAGGAGCTGCCATGCCAGCTTGGCAGCCTTGCTACTTCGAGCAGCGCTTACAAGCAGGCAGCTGTGAAGGCACTAAGGGAACATAAAGGCAGGAAGAAACCGCCCTCCAGCAGTGCTGTGGACCTACACAGGGATGGATATCCAGCCCTGCTGAGGAAATGCCCAGGAGCAGTTCCAGGCACGACTATCAACGGGTCCAATTCTGTTGTTTCTTCATGCTTACAAACTTTCCAAAACCGTACAGATGTCTAATTTCCATTGCACGTGCCCAGAATATCACGTTGGCAGATGAGTTATCCGAGGATGCAGGCGCAGTATTCCTGCTTTTGGTAAGTGAAATATTAGATATTAAGTGTTAAGGCAGATGCATTTCAGAGATGTGGGAGAAGAGGAAGGGGAGGGAAGTGCACAAGGAGAACAGAAAGATTACTGGAGGCAGGAAGAGAGAACAGCTGCATCCAGAAAAAAACAGAGTACAAAGCTGGCTCTGGTAAGGGCAATAGCATACAACATGTTTCCTCTGAGAAAGCCAAGGCAAATTTTCATCCCAGTTCTCACCTTGGATAAGGTGAGAATTCACATTCAAAACAGACCCAGCCTTACCACCATAATTTTTCCACAGTTTATAATCCCATACTACACACCAAGGCCAAGACCTGTAACCAAGGTTAGAGTAGGGTGTTTAAAGGAAGGAGCTTTCACACTCTCACCCACTAGCATCCTCCAAGAAACCCAATAGCTTATTCTCTGATGTTCTTTATTCTCATTCAGAACCATTTAACAAAACAAACCTGAAACATCAGCATCTTAATCTCTAAAGTAACCTACTCATATCACAGTTTATGGGATGTTCCACATGGCTTGCCCATGAGGTGTTTAGAGAAGAAAGCTTGGATCTGCCGCCAAGCATCTATCTGTGCCTCACAGTGTGCTTTGGGCTCCCCTCCCCACACCACACGCTTGCCAACTAGCAGGTGCATTGAGGCTGCACACATCGGGAAAAAGGGAGGTTCAATGTAGTGCCCCGCTCCAGGATAACAGACTATCTTAGGCTTTTCCTTCCCATAAGCTTGCAAACGCTTGCTCCCCTCAACTGCAAAGAATTCGCTCTTCCAGTTGCGATCATCCTGGCCAACAATGAACAAGAAGTGACATTCGGCCTTCTCCAAAGGGATAAAGCTTTGGCGGTCAGGCCCTTCTAGCGGGTTGTTCAGTATATCGACAATATCAGCAATCCCAGACTCGTTGACCTTGATGCGTTTTGCATTGACACCAAGGGGTGGAATGGTGATGTCCTTGTAGCGGAGCACTGCACCCACATTTGCCACGGAGCTGTTGATAAGGGCAGTGGCCGTGATGCCCTTTAGGAAGGAAGCCATGGAGACGCACAGGTCACCCCCCTTCGAGATTCCAAGCAGCCCAATCCCTGAACCTTTAACCTGGAGGAGAGAGAAGAGAAATCACAAACAATGAACCATGGCACGTCACTTCTTTAAAATGTTGCCATGTTCACAGCAGTGTCTGTCCCGAATCTGGATGCCAGGTATAGGCACCTAAGGTCTTGTGTACAGCGCCTACGCCTAAGGGACCCTGGGGCATTGTTTTGTGCTTGGTTTATGATCATAAGCCCTGCTGAGACTGTGGCATCATCCTAACAAAGTTACAAGGCTCAGTGCTGAAGCATACGCAGAAGGTACAGCTATGCTTGCAAAAAGCGTGCAGATGTGCAGCCTTAGATTCATTTTGCTTATAAGGCAGCCCAGGGGAGAAGAGGGAAGGGGCAGGGGAGGCCTCTTCTACAAATGCTTTCTTTCAATGCAGAATGCTCAAAGTCAGCAATGACTATGATACTGTCATCAGTTACCATAATGTATTTTATATTCAACCACTGTCTTTGATTCCCTTATTAAGAAGCTAACATGGGGTAGCAGACTCCACATCAGCTGCTCTCCTGTTTCTCTAGTATGCTTGGTGTCTAACTCACAGTGAAAAGGAATTATTCTGAGGTAGCTGACTCATTAAAATGTATCTTAAAAAAAAAACACTATTAAAACCATTTTCCTAAGCAAATTGTACAGTTCTCTGGAGTCAATCTAGAATAGGTTACCTTAATTTTCTTTTACACAGGTCAATTAACTAGAATAGGAAAGCTAAATGATCTTACAGCATGCTGAAATCCTCTAAGGACATAGAAGGTTAGCTAATACCACAACTGCTTCAATATCCAAAGACCCTCAGAGGTATAATGGCTCTGAGACAGCATGAAAATTTAATACTTTTTGTACCTTATCACCAGTGTAACAGGCTCCAAACCCACTGACTTTGAAGCATGGAAGGGAGAAAGTTAGAAAATATGGCTGAAACTTTATAACGTGTTAAAAACATGGTGAGGGCATCAGTGGAGGCATTAAAGGGAGGCTATGGTACTGCTCTCAGGAGAAAAAAAGGCGGGGGGAAAGCAATTTTCAGTATTTTGGGCAGAGAGGTGGCAGGAGCAGTTAGGGTGACTGAAAAGCAAGTAAGACCTTTAACAACTTCTCATCTTTCTGAAGTTGAGGAAGGTATTTATTTTGAGTTCTCCAGAGAAATCAAGTGTTGCCTTGTGCAATTCCAGTTATTGTCATGCACAGCTATTTGGAAGGAAATGCAGAAATCGGTTCTCTTCCAAGAGGTGTCGACTTAGAAGGATCTCCAAGTTCACAACTAGCTACTAAAACCCACACTCAGCAAATACCAACATCTGGAATGATTTTAACAGCTTATACAATACACAGCAACAAAAGTGTACTGGTGGACTTCCTTGAGACCTGGATCACAGAAGGTTATTGTGCTCTAAGGCTGAAAAGGGCATTTAGTTCTGAAGGACAGTCTACAGAGCATAAACCTAAAAGCCCACTGAAAGTCCAATAAGTCTCCAGGCAACTAGTACCCTAGTTAGGACACTGGGTTGAACGGAGCACAAATTACCTATGTGTCACTATGTCACCTGGTCAGTTCAAAAGCAAGAATTGGAATAATCTGCCAGAGAACCATTGTAATGGGAGTTAAAGATATCAAGCAAATTAATTACAGCCAACTTGAACAGACATGGTATTTTAAGTACAGCAGCTCTGCCCCATCTGCAGTCTGACAGGACCTGACTAATGAGAGTTCCCTTTAGTGAGCGAGTGTCAATGAACAAACCAACCTGGGTGTGTTGTAGCATATAGTTTACAGCTTCTTCAAAATATTCCAAATGGAATTCCTTCATCTCTTTGGGGAGATCTTCATAGCTGTAGAAAGCCAGAGCCAGCACAGCAAAGCCATAGTTGGCCAGCAGGCATGCCCTATATTCAGGGAGTCCTCCTCCAGTTCCATACAAGTCAATAATTCCCGGAAAGGGGTCATTTCCTGCAAGAGACCACACAAGACAACACATTAACCCACAATTTTTAATTCATATTCCAAATCCATAGGCCTGGGAATGGGTCTTTTTTAAAAAGAGAAAAATATAGAGCAGCAGAATGGTACTAAGGGTCCTACATTACTGTGGAGGAATTCCTTTCCGAGACTGGCCATAATATTCTCTCGGGTATGGACAATCCCTGTTTGGGCCCCAGAGCACAAGGTTACCAACTAGATTACTTTTGTCCTTCAAGTTATCTCAATGGCCTTAAAAGGAAATGTAGACTGATAGCCTGCCAAGATGCACGCCTCCTGGATGCCTCTCCGATGACCGCAATGAGGAGACTGAAGGGATGAGCTTATTACCTGTGTTCTGCTAGCGCTGCCCTATCACTATAGCCCACGAGAGTGTGTTTACTCTAAGCAAGCCAATTGTAGGATGTAGTCGTGTCACATCACATTCCGCTATATAACCTGTGTGTTGTTTGTAATAAACGGAGCATGATTTTCTAACCATATTGGTGTATGGTCATGACTCTGGGCCGTCCACAGAAGGGCTCTTGCAACACATTACTACACCAGTTTTCAGTAAATGGCTACGTTGCTTCAAGATTAAACAAGACAGCACAAAATAGTAGGCCTGCTCGTGTTTTGGACAACACATGGCTGGAAGGGATGGGATGTCCCTTGACAGTCACAACTAGTTCTCTGTATCACGTAAATTTACTGCAAAAGGATCAAGCACTGCTTCAGAAGTACCCAGAAGGCTTCTCCCCAGTGCATTTCTCAGAAGATTGATCCAAAAAAATCTCATGTTCTGATGCTTCTAGCTTCTCAGTTGCAGTGTAAATGTACTACAGACATTTATTCTAAGGCAAAGAAAATAAAGTATTTGTAACCAGCTTTGCTAACCTGATGAGGGAAGCTTTCCATAAGGTTCATCAGGGGACAGAGACTGAAGTTCAGAGCTGAGACGGATAGCTGCAAACTGATAACGAAGTATGGAAAAGAGAAGGCCAACAGGGACACTCCCATTCCTTTTTTAAGGGTGGGTGAGGCTTCTCTCAGATGTTTGCAGACTAACCCACAAAACTTGGGCAACAAACAAGAACCGTAAATTCACCTTAAACCACAGGGCTACAACACAGAGTTGGGGATTCTGGCTGGGACAGCACATATGATTTTGGCACTATCATGGAGGAGTTACCAGGGACAGGGAGGGAAAAAGGGGGAGAGGGGAAGACGTGTTACATAGAGGAGCTCCTTGAGTACACGGGGTTCCAGAGACATGCTTGGTGAAAGCCTCTGGGTCACAGGGGGAAGGAAAGGTGGGATGTGGTGGAGGACATGCTGCCAGAGGAGGCAGCAGATGAGGCTCCCTACAGACAACTAGCAGAAGTCTGGGCAGCCGCTGGAAAGACAATACAGAATTTGCAAGGCAATCTGGAAACCTCACAGACCATCTCGATCATTTTCTGACAAAAATACCATAAGGGCAAACCTGTCTAATGCTTTATTTGATCTTCTGCTCACAAACAGAGAAGAACTGGGGGAAAACATGGCAGCAAAATGCAGCTCAGGCTGCAGCAACTGTGAAATGACTGAGTTGAGCATCTGTGTAAAGGCTGGGAAGGAAAGCAGCAGGCTTAGAACTCTAGACTCTTGGAGAGCAACCTTCAACTTACCCAGAATTACTAGCTGAATTCCCTGGAGAACAGCCAGGTAGAGCAAAGGTACCTTGAAGACTAACTGACACCACCTCCCACAGCATTTGGAAACAAAAAGAGTACTGTGATCAACACCTTCATGTCCAATACAAGTCAACGAAAGAAACTCACATTTAAACACATGTAGCTGTGCTACGCGAGGAGCGTGGCCACCAGATCAACGCTGTACGGTCTGCTTGGGCTGCTCCTTGAAGAGTGCTCACCACTGGGGAGGTCCAGCTCCCCCTTGTCCTCCGCACCGTACCGGGCTCAAGGGGCGTCTGGAGGGGCTCTGGCTCCAGGCCTGGGAGCACGAGGCCGAGACAGGAGACAGCACCCGCGGGG